TTGAAAGTCTGGTAGTGCATCGACAACTCCTACTTCTGCTTCGCCTTAATGCGTTACATAAATCGTACAGTGAGAGCACAACGCTAATTGAGTTGAATTGAAAGAAGACTTTTTGAAGTGATCAAGCTCTAGCTGTCAGCTGCTGCTGTCAGCGGACTAATCACGAGATAACTTTTCCGTTAACGAATTCAGTTTCGACGAAAAATCTGATACAACATCAACCCTAACCATAATTACAAAGATTGCTTACAAAGTTGGTACCATGACACAGCTAAGCAAATGCATCCCATTTTTGTTTTTTATTGAATGCAGTAAACGGCTGCAACCTCTTTCTCCCTTGTCCTGATCAAGCCGTCATCCAAAACTGTATGTTTTGGATTCGGGACGGGGCGACAGCCGTGGTATCGTGCCAAAAGAGGTCCCACAGCAAGTCCTTGCAAGCATTGGCAAACTGCCACGGACGGGCCTGTAGAAATTGTTGGTTTCAACGGATATCTCGATTCAACTGCACCACACTGTATCACAAGGTTGGCAACTCATGAACAAAACTTGGGTTTAGGAAGGAACTCGGACCTGCACCTTATTATTCGGGCATCGTGTTCTTTATCCCTTACACTGCCGAGACCCCGCTTGCCCTTGTTTTCTTAACGGCTCTACTTCATTACTGACCTGCTAATCCACACAGAGTGTTGTGTTGGGCCAACAACACAACACTTTGTATGAATTGTTGCGTCAACATCAGCATTGGACCGCTAAGCTGTAAGTTCCTCATATTATAACTTGTTTTGGCTTGTTTTGTCGTGTTAGCTGCTATTATTTCAGTATTTTTCAATTTCCTTGCCGGGTAGGGATCCCAAGCCGAAGTAGCCTTGACATAGAAAAACTTAAATTACATGGATGTGCATCGTTTTTCAGCGGCGGCTTGGTGTAGTGTTAGGCGTGATATTTCAAGTGCGAGAGTAGGGCTTGGGTTCTGTAGGGAACGGAATTCATTGCATTATATAGAATTTCCCCTTAAGGGCTAGAAAATACTCTGTCTATTCATAATTGGTGCTATCATTCAATTTCTACAAATGATGGGGTTGTTCTACACTTTTGCCACTTTTGCAGCGTGGCAAACGTGGCAAAAGTGTAGAACAGATGAGCAGTTGAGACAATGTCATACGAGCAGTATGTTCTCTCCACAGTTGGTTGTGTCGCACTTATTGAAGGACATCGGTTCTTGTTATATAGATCGCGCCTTTACTAGAGAAAAGAAGAAATCGATAGATAGCTGTTCCGCTATTTTACGAGATGCAGTGTACGACACCTCAATATTGAGTGCGAAGAAGACAGGTCATAGAAGAAGAAGAGGCTGACCCGCTGTGGGAAGTCGATGATGAAGAAACATCGAGTTCGTTCAGAGGATCGTTCGTATTCGGTTGCATGGAGGTCTTTATAGAACAGGTAATCGTTCTGTTTCGCCAGCACAATTATCTGTAAGGTGACATTACTGCAATCTAGGTGGAATGCCATCGTGTTTTACCGCTCGCGCGCAAAAGGAAGTCGCCCGCTCTCGTCTATGGACTCCTATTTCCGCTTTATACGAAGCGATTACCAATTTTTGAAGTTAAGGCAAATAGAGAGGGGAGGTGAGCCATAACATTGGAAGCATTTCTCATTTCGTAGTAACTTATAGCCATATAAAAATAGGTGAGGTCCGCGAGAGTGATGTGAAAGCTCTGCGAACGTTAGTGGACCTTTTGAAGAAAGAAATTACCTCAAGGCTGCTTGACCTGGAGGTGACGTTGCATTATTGCGATATACGTCAAATGGCTTTGAGGATAAACAAGGGAAGGTCACTAGTAGGAGAATTCAAAGCTGGACACCGATGGATCCAACAACTCAAAAGGAGGTGGGGTTGGTCCCAGACGTATCGCCACCTTCTCCTCTAGGAGTTTCATGGACAGAGAGCGTATTCCTTCGGATGCTCAAAACTTTGTGAGCGAGGTGAGGAAAGGTAGGGCCTAGATCATCATCACTTTTATCTAGAGTCGTCTCCTATTTCGGTTACACTGTGTTGATCCAACGTTGCCAGCTTCTAGAGATGAAAAGATGGCTATTAGGAGCAGTGTGTAACGCTGACCAAAGTGATTTCATGATGGAAATGTATACACAGAAACTGCTAGCAGCAAAAAGCTAGAAGAGAGAAGAAGGAGTCTTGCAGTCTCTTTCTGCGACGACTCACTCGTTCACCGTTCTGCCCTGCCTTTTCGCTGATGGTCACCTAGGTCAAAAGCTCTTCGTGGTGTTTTAGATTTGCTATACAGAATATTTCCCAGTACTCTATGTTTCTTAACCTAACTTTGATAGGAATCTACTGGAAAATTTGGAGGTTGGAATTTGGAGCAAAGAATCGATGCCAGAGAGGGTGCGATGCGAGCAGTTCCGGACTCACCAACACCGACAATTAGATCTTGGACTCGTTGTTATCATTCAAAGACCATAAAGCTATTCATCTGTCTTACCTCCACAAAAGTAGGTAAAGGTGAAGAGCATCCCTGCTCGAACTACGAGGCTGATACAGCCGCTACATGTCCATTTCTTTTTGCCTTTTGAAAATATGATTAAATGCATCATCTCATATGTGATTGCTCATGATCTCAACTTTAGCGTGTACACTCGAGACTCAATTCTTTGCTTACTATAGCTTGTCTATTTTCAGTTCTGTGCTGCCAGGTCAAGGAAATTTCTCTCTTATTCATGGCATGCTGCCGTCTACTCAAGCACTCACCCCGGTGATTTTGAGAAGCCTACACAATCCTGTTTTCCCTCTGATTTGGTAAGTGATTGTGAAGCACTAGGCTGTGACGAGTTCTTTTTCATCTATTGCTCTCATTGTGAAAAGCTTCTTTGTTCCAATCATTTGTGCTAGAGTATCACATTTGTTCATAATATGGCAACAGTTATCCTACTGTGGATGTAGAGTGCATGAGCTTGCAAGTAAAACTGAAATACTTATGTGGATAAATATCAGCTAAAGCATTAAAGGGTCATAAAAGGTGAAAAGCACCATGAGAGTATTTTCTAGTCTCTAAGGGAAAAATTCTCAATATGCCATGATTCCGTCCCCCACAGACCCGAACCTTAGTCTTTCGCACAGGAAGCGTTACGCTTACCACTACACTAAGCCGCCGTTGAGGAACGGGGAACGTTCATGTAATTTAAGTTTTCTTATGTTAAGTTTTACCTGAAACCACCCTCATAACTCCGTTCAGAGAGACGCTCGGCAAATTTGAAAAGCAGGTTCGAAGTCAGCATCCAGAAACACGTCCAGCAGGTATGTCTCATTTCAATGGCCGCTTCGACTTGGGATCCTTCCCTGGTTAGCTTTCTGCAGGGTGGCGAAAAATTACGTGCGCCATAAAAAACGCTCAAACTCCATTATTTGTACACCAACATGGGAAGAAATATATTTCCTCAAAACAACAAACAATGACATTACATAATCACAACAAGTTTTCAACGTGCCCGCCTTCCGCTTTGATACAGGGTTCGATTCGTCTTTTCGCCGAAGGTAGTCAATGTCCAAACTGTCCCAGATTTTGCACACCTTTCGCAGAGTCACCAAACTTTTCACGATTCTGTTCCTTAGTTCCTCTTCCATATTATTCCGGACAACGAAGTCTAAAGGATTCAAATCTGAGCTATTTGAAGGCCGCAGATCCTTCGTCAGGAAGGGGAACATCTCGGTCTTGAGGAAGTGATTGATGGAGCTCGCTGCATGGGCCGCAGCCAGTCTTGCTGGAAGCTAAAGTTGGAATGATTCAGCTTACAGGGTAGCACAGCTTCTTCAAGAATTTTTTTATAAAACTTTGCATCAATTTTCACAATTTTGTCTATGAAAATCAACTGAGTCATGCCGGATTGACTGATGCATTGACCCCTCCAAACCATTAAACTTTTGGGGAACAAACTTCTTGTGGCAATTCTTCTATTCCAGATGTTACTGAAAACGGGACTAAAGTGTTGGCGTTGATTTTGAGAGTTTTAGCCGTTGAAGCCGTTAGCACGTTGAACACTTTTTGGGTCAGTTTGGACATCGACTACCTTCGGCGCACCGCGGTTTCGGCGAGAAGACGAATCGAAACCTGCATCAAAGCAGGAGGCGGTCACTTTGAAAACTTGTTGTGAATAAGTAATGTCATTCTTTGTTGTTTTGAGAACATACATTTCTTTCCATGTTGGTATACAAATAATTAAGTTTGAGCTATTTTTTATGGCGCACGTAATTTTTCGCTACCCCGTATTCTCTACAGGCACAGTACTGTGAGACGTTTCCATAATGCACAGATAGATGCAGAATATTAGTCCTTGACCTATCACAAGGTCTGAACCTGCTTTTAACCGCATTCTGATCCGATGCGCTCTTGGATAGAGGGTACTCGACACTCACACAATACAGGCCACCTCGCTACCATGGATGATAAACGTAATCATCAGGTCATACTCTCGATCCTATTCTGGAATGCGATTGGCTTCTTTACTCTAATTTTATATCAAAACAGTACATCGAAGAAGAAATACAAAGACTTTTACACTCCGGTATTGAAAGGAACATAAGTAAGTACATACAGTACAATAGGCAAGAATTAGACGTTTTCAGTCACTCCTGACACCCTCTTCGGGTTACGCTTGTCCATTTCTCTGAGCGAACCCTGAAAACATTGTTATTCGATTCCTTGATTAGTTTGCTTGCTGAAATTCTATGTACCAATCGTCTTTGAAACAAAGAAAACCAGTGAATTGATAGTATGCCAAACCAATCTTTGTCAGCAGCACAGCACAGGCTGCTGACAAAGATTGGTTGGGTTCATTGGGCTGCTGAAAGCTTAGAGGAGATTCCCTATTGTTGAATGTTCACATTTTTATTTTGCTCTATTATATTTTTGCAGACTGTCATCAGCAAGAGGCTTCCGTTTAACAAAAGATTCATCGCTCACTACGAGTTCTACTCAATATTAATGTTCGAAAGGATTTTTAATGTGACTCACATTGTAGACTTGAATAGAATTGTTGGGGAAAATTCCTTCTATGGCGTATGCAAGCAACGCTGCTTGTATGCCAACGTTGCACATTATAACAGTCGGCCGATCCGGCTTGAAACCATTTACTTCTAGCCCTAAATGATATTCATTAGGGATTTGCCAGGAATTCTTTTTGAATATTCTGTTTACTTGACCTATTTCAGTAAACTCTAACTCGCTCCAAAATTCCTAAACAGGATATATAACAGAATCGTAAAAATGCAATATGTATAGGATGTTTGGATCGCGTGCAGCACTTGGCGCATCGGCCGCACTCCGATGTGCGCAGCGTAAGAATAAAATTCGAATGATTGGTGACTACGGTATGCGGCGAACTCACTATTATGTGTATATTGACGGCGATGGAAATCCGTGCGCAAGATCCGCCCCACATGTGAAGGGAAAAACGCAGTTTACCAGTTTCACTAAGAGGTGCTGGGCTGTCGTTTGACGACTAGTCAGTTATTAGTCATTTGGAGAATGAGTACAGTACACAGAGATGTATTATATTACACATACGATGTCATAGCATATCATCCTTGATCTACTACAAAGGCTGAACCTGCCTTCAATCACAACCTAAATCTCTCCTATCTTAGATACAGATTTTACACGAGGCAGGCCACCCTACCATCGTGAGTGCGAATTTAATCATCAGGTCATACTTCTACGCTTCTCTTGATTCTGGAAAAATAGCTTCATTCAACTCACAATTGCGTATTTCTTCATTGTCCCTCATAAGGCCTTCCTCCACAAGTTCAGCTGCTGGTAAGTTCTTGAAACCAGGAATGTGTGTGCCGATCACATCTAGAAGACATAAAGATCTTGAAAGGTCAACATGATCTGAAGTAGTCGATGTAAACACTCTGCAAACTGACTTGAAGGGGACCCGGTGGGAACAGTGCCTTCAAACTGACCTCGCACTCGTGCATCAAGCAGGTTTAGCTGAAAAATCATTCTTTATACACCTACAATTATGCAGTGTGGGTTAATTTTGCTATGGCCACCTCACATCATCCGTCCACTCGATGTACTTCCTATCACCATGTTGCTGCTCTAGCTGTTCGAATGTTATGTTGTATTTCGCTATACTATCGTTGGCCTTCCACGTTCCGCGCTGAATAATCAGATAAAGACCATGACGATCAGATTTACACACAGTGCCTTTTGATTACTCGATTAATAACTTCACTATTTAACATATCAACTCAAGTCGTGTTTCCCGTTCTGTTTATCTGTTATGGAAGTTTTGTTTCAGCGTGAGCTTCTTAGTCGTACACAGTGGCAAACAAAACGGTTCAAAAGGGAACATACGGGCTCAGTGAAACTCTTATTTTATTTGAAAATCGATGAAAGGATAATGTTTCTGAGAGTTGTTTGCCTCCGCATTCGAGCTCCAATCAGATTCTAGTGGCGCACTGCAGATTATAAAATGACTTGCGGGGTCCCACCGATGCACCAATCAACACTTTATCCTCCTAGACAAGTCTGTTAATGCTTAATCGACCCCGGATGAATGAAATGTATGCTTGGCCAGGCGAATATTGACTTTAGATTAGAACTCGCCACCCATGCGTGTGTGATTGTGCGCAGTTGCCACTACGCCACCTCCATGCTTTTGAGAATTGATGGCTGGATTGATTATCAACGATGCTTTTGGTATTATGAGCTGTTTTTTGCGGCAAGAAAGAGAGTATGGTGTACACTTCATCCCAATTCGAACTTTAACAAATTGTTCTGAGCAGGAACGAAGGCGCTAGAATTGAGAGTCGATGGCAAGCTGGGAAAGTATAAGGAACGAAGTAACATTCCGCTCACAGGTGGAGGAGCGCATAGTTATGGACTCATATTGCGGATTGTGTGCACAATACTCACCTGAAATGCTAGAAGAAAGCAAGAAATTGCGAATCAGCCTTTCTATCGTTTTTTCCATGCTTAATTAGTTTTAGCCCGAAATTTTGCATAGTCTAATTGAACTTGTCAAACTCTGCAGCACTTCTCCCAGCGTCAGTCCTGCACACTCGCAAGGTCCTTTGTTCTATTCTGTTGCCTCTTCCTTCGAAATGTGATCTTTTGTCGTCATCTTGGCTTCAGAGAGGTCCTACATAATTACGTTCTGCCAGCTCTGCTTTGAGACCCCTCGCGGTCGATTCCCTTGAGCCTAAACTTCATTGCCTCCCTTATTGGATGTTTTGGTGGTCTTCTCAGTATGTGCTGCTCTCCCATCTTATGCTGAACAGGGGCTGTATGCATAAAGGATCGGACGACTTCGTTTCCGATCCGGTCCATCGCGTCTAACCGCAGGCCCATCTGTGCATCCTCACCTCAGCGGGAGCTGTCCTTCATGATTCCTATTCATGGGCCAGCACACACCGCCGTAAATCATCGCGGGTCACACCACTGTCCTGTACCCTTTTCCTTTGAGTACCCTGGAGCACCGATGATTGCAGAGGATACCGGTGGATTCCTCCACTTCATCCATGCCACTTTTATACGGGATCTTACAGTCTGATCCACGCTACCATCACCGAGGTAACGGGAGTCCTGTACCCTTTCAATGACTTTCCTGAGACCGTCTACGACTGACTCCGTGCACTCCTCAGAGCTGAGGAACTTGGTTTACTTCCCGTTTGCTATAGAGATAGCATCCGTTGTAGACCGTTCTGGCATAAAGCCGAATTGCTCCCGTGAAATCTGACCGGGTTCCCTCAAATTTGAGTCGACTGACCGCTCGTACGATTTCATTGTGTGAGCAGTCACCCTGATCTCCCTGTAGTTGGAACACTTCATCGCGTTCCCTTTGGCTGCTTTCATAGTCCGCCGGCACGCCGGTGGACTATAAAAGCAGCCAAAGGGAACGCGATGGAATGCTCCAATTACAGCCTTTCTGTTTGAATATGGTATGATGGTGCTGCGCCTTCAGGCATCTGGGATTCTTCCTTCAGTGGTCACAGTGTTCAGAAATCGGGTGAGCCACCTAATCTCGTGTTCTCCAAGCGCATACCATGCCTTCTTTTCTCCCGTAGAATATGAGAGGAGAAGATCGATTATCATTGCTGGTGCAGCAGAAAGACCAGATTCAAATCTAATGATAAGGTTGCAGCATGATACTCATTGTGTTAGTATGATTTTAGAGTTTCTAGGTAACGAATGCTCACCTCTTTCTATTCACAGACTTGGTAACACCAGTAAGAGATCACCTCGCTTATTGAAAGTAGTTTCACCTGCGAGGAAATTTCAAGTTCAATTGTTACGGAATGCTTCACGTTTGAGATTTCTATCATATCAAAGGAGTATTTATTAGGACATCTCTTACTAAAGAAGAGCGAGCTAAGCATCGACAATCTAGGATTAGTTCTTTTCCGTAAGGCAGTTCACTATCACAGTTCACTCGTTCAAAACGGAATGAAATCACATCGAAGAAGTCTTTCTCTCAATTGCAACCTTGTTCTACCCAAACTTTAAACTAGTGGCTCCTTCTAGGATACTTAATGATAGTAATATTGTTTTTTTCCCCAATATAAGGTCCCTCCCAAAAAACTCGAGTTATTTTGATCTTTTACTATGTGACAATTATAATTTGCTCATGTTTTGTGAAACGTGGCTCAATACATCTCACACGCTCTGTTCTCTCATTTCGGTTGATAATTACTGTTCCGTGCGCTGTGATAGGTGCAAACGTCAGGGTGGTGGTGTGCTGCCATTGATACGGAACAATTTTAATATATCGAGATCTTTTCTGACTTGGTTCGCGAGGCATATGAAATTTTAGCCGCTGACATCTGTTTTGAAAGTACTAAGATAAGGTGCATTGTGGGTTACAGGGCTCCTACGTGTTCGCTGTTGCTTAGTGAGCAACTGTGCAATATCATTGGTGATCTTTCTATATGTGAGTACCCATAGGTGGTTGTGGGAGATTTCGACCTCCCGGATATTGATTGGTCATATGTAGCATCACCAGGTGGAGATACTGGTTCATCTTTTATGGATAATCTGTTAGTTCGTAATTTCAAGCAGTTTTTATTAAAGCCATCTAGAGGAGAAAACATTTTGGATTTAGTTTTAGCCAATGATGAAGCCTTGGTGAACAATATCAAGATTGAGCCGCCTGTGGGTAGTAGTGATCACAATAGTATTTCATTTTGTGTGATAAGAGAATAGTGTGAGCCCCATTCTACAGTTTGTAGAGATTTCTCTAATTGTGATTTTGTGGGGTTGAATGCATATCTTGAGTCAGTTGCTTGGAGATATTCCTTAGAGAATACTAACTCTGTTAGCGATAAATATGAAATGTTCCTCAATATTTTGCAGCACGCTATTGAATTATATGTTCCTCTCAAGCGGGTTTATAGATTCAGTGCTCATCTTCCACCATATCTGCAAAATATGATTCATCATCGGAGTTGTTTATTTTATACTGCCAAAGCTTCTCAGGATAATAGGGATTGGAATAAGTTGCACTCGTATTCACGGAAGATTGATTATCGTCCAAAGAAATACAACATCCATTGTGAGAAGAAGGTTCTTAACAATATAAGAATGAAAAAGGATTCTATAAGCTATTGAATAACAAGCTTGGGTCTGTATGCAAAATCTCTTGTTTGAAATATGACGAAAAAGATGTGTATAAAGCCAATCTGTTAGCAGCTAAGTTTTGTCAGGTGTTATCTAACAACGATGATTCATTGCCTGTTTTTAGTCCCGTGGTCGTTACCCCTATGGTTGACTTTCCTTGGGTAGATGGTATTGGGGTTTTTGAGCACTTGAATCAATTGCCTGACTCTCTTTCTTTAACAACTGATTTTGTCCCACCCATGTTCATGATGAAGATTGCTCATATTGTAGCAGAGCCATTAGCCTACATTTTCAACCAGTCATTATGCTTCAGCCAAGTTCCAGTTAGATGGAAACACTCTTTTGTGACACCTATTTTGAAGAAGAAGCCTTCGTATTTCGTTGACAACTACAGGCCTGTTAGTATAACCTCGTTCATTTGTAGAGTATTTGAGAAGGTTCTTAATAAACATATCATGGGTCACTTAGATATAAATGGGATAGTACCACCTAATCAGCACCGATTCGTCTCGGGTAGATCGGTTGAAACGAATTTTCTTGAATGTATCAATGACTGGAGTGTTTACCTCGACGACAGGAAAGCTTGTGATGTTGTTTATTTTGACTTTTCAAAAGCATTTGATATGGTGGTTCATACTGAACTTTTGTATAAATTGGAACAACTTAGATTTCATCCTTTAGTTTGTCGTTGGTTGAAGAACTTTCTCTCTTTGAGGACATTTCAAGTCCGAATAGGGTGTTCCTTTTCTAAGGTCGTGAATGTTAAAAACGGAGTGCCCCAAGGTGGTGTTTTATCACCTCTTTTTGCTATATATACTTAGGAGCTCCCAACTTTACTAAAAGGATGTGGTGTTGTTTGCAAGCAATTTCCAGATTATAGGAAGTTGGAAGGCAGTGATGAAACAGAAAGGATTCAAAAGGCTTTGGACTGTATTTTTGATTGGTCATGTAAATGGAATTTACCTTTTGCACCGGAGAAAACTGTTTACATGAAAATTGGTTCTTCCACTGGTATTTCGAATAACCATTGGCTTGATGATCATGTCCTTACTGAGGTCTCTTCAGTTAAAGACCTGGGCGTCCACTATGACTTTAAGCCTAGTTTCTCGGATCACTATGCGGCTATTTTCTAAAAGGCAATCTTCCAAACATACCAAGTCTTCGAAGGTTTAGCGATTAGTGATAAGGATATTTTACTGAGAGCTTACAAAACATATATGCGTCCCATAGTTGAACGTGGAACATCTGTTTTCTGCCCGTATAAGATGAAGGATATTCAGGTGATTGAGAAAATCCAAGATAATTTCACTCGAAAGCTGGTTGCAAGATCTGGTGATGCTACTTATGGTAAAGTGCCTCGGCCAAATTCAATGAATAAAAGTGTACAATTGCACTGTTTATGGTCTTTCAAGAAGATTTATGATGTATGTATGGTGTTTAAGGTGCTGACTGGTATTGCTAAAATCGACGCATCCAAATTCTATGCAAAGTTGGAACCAGAGGTGGACAAGTGAAAATTTCATATGCAACGCCGAAAACCAACATTAGACGTTACAGCTTTACTTGCCGAGCCGGCACTACTTTTATATCTCTAAATCAGAGGCACACACCACTTCCACGTCTGCACCTTTCAAACTCCTAGCTAAGAAAAAGCTCTTGTAAAAAAGTAATTAAGTGACGTTGTGTTGTTAGCGATAGAAAATTCTCCACGTTCGCCTTATATAACGTCTTCAATGAATGAATAAATAAGACCTCCTTTTTGCGAAGAAGTGCTGCAGGCTGCCAAGTCGTGGGCTATGGCTAGTTCGAGAACACTCTCCCTCTTCGTTTCTGACTCCTACTCCTTACCACCATGTACCCTTTCGAGTCTCTTTCTTTCATTGCCGACGTGCCCATTTAAATCACCTAATATGATCCCCTTCTGTACCTGTCGATGCATCGTCGAGGCTCAGGTAGAACGCTTCTTTTTCACGCTGGGGCCAGCCGGCCTGTTTTGCGTCCCCGAACTTTATTGACTTGTACCCATCATTACTGTCTGTTCTTACTGTCATTATTATACTGCTGATCCTGCTGACGGCGGAGACGGAGTCCTGACGGCGGAGGCGGGGTCCTGACGGCAGAGACGGAGTCCTGACGGCGGAAACGGAGTCCTTGCGGGACTCCGCTACTGCTGTAGCCGCACCATGTCGTTTGTTGTCATCCCATTGTAGTAGAGTTTGACACCCTCTCTGATTTCCCTAGCCTTTGCTCCTTTCCAGTGGGTCTCCTGATGGCATAGGACTTGCATATTTCTGCGCTTCATCAGATCAGCAACCTTTCGGGAATTCCCAGTAAGCGAACCCACGTCCAGAGTCCCATTTCGAACCGACTTCTTCAGTTGATATCGTTCACTACTCGGCAGCCCTCGCATACTGTTCACAAGATGCGGGCGGGGTTCTGTGCGTCAGTTCCGAGTCACGTCCTAGCTTTATTACTGACTTTTTTAGACACCTTTGACACATGATTGTTGTGACTAGGCTTCTCCAACGGCCAGCCTGTCAACCTGGGCCTGACGCTGGAACCGATACCATTTTTGCAATGTTTGCAAGGCATGGGTTTCGCCTCAGCAGAGACCGAACTCACGTGCTTTTGAAGTGCAGACATGAGTCCACACCCTTATTTCCTAGTTAGTTCAACATAAACTGAAATCTAAAACTGAGAAAGAACTAAGAACGTATTCTGAGTTTGAAGCTCATTCATCACCCATGCCTCGCTAGTATCGCTTGCCATGTGAGGTACATATGGACATCCGGAATGCCGCAGAAACTTTCAGGGCGAGCATTTCAATATAACAATACATTAATAAAACAGGGCCAGAAGTTTTTCAATGCAAGTGTAAGGAAGCTCCTCTTAACGACTTTCTTTCACTTATTCCAACCGATGGTGCGGTGTGAAAGCTTTTGTCTCGTCTTTATGAAAAGGATTTGGCTCATTGTATAAACTGAGCTCGCAAAAGAAAGAAGATAGAGAAAAATGCCCTTCAAATAAACCTGAATTTTACGAGCTTGTATTCTCGGTCCGTCTATTGCTTTTTCCTCAGTCTCATGATTTTATTGCGTGGTAGTAGTTCAGGCCATGTCACACGGATTCAAACAAAAGCAACATCCCCTCATTCGACTTCAACTTCAAGTTTTTCAAGTTCTTCGTTCCAACTTCAATTGATTACACGTAAAAGAAGCTAGAAAGTACACTTCGAAGAATTCTTAGGAACTCGAAGGGTTTTCACAGAAAACTCCGAGAGCGAAAACTTGAGAAATCAATACAATCCATTTTGTATGTAAAACTTTTTACTATTACTAGAGTGATTGAACATGATGACGTTCGTGGACTTCAACGAGGGTAGTCTCCGGCATTTATCAACCACGTTTCTGAAATGCCCCTCGAAATAGCTTCACACAGAATTGTAGGGGCAGTTTGAATGCGTATGTGGCCTACAGCACAATACAATGACTTGCTTTGACCATCTAATGTACAAGGTAATGCTATCACCCTCCCAGACGTGCCGATTAAATGATCTCGGAGGGATGGGAAGCTAGGTTACTCCTTGGGGATATTATTGTTCGATTCCGGGACCTCGTGTAGGACCATTTGACTTGCCATTGCGCTCGCCACTGCCCCATCATTACAGATCATTAGCAGAAAACAAACTCGATCTGTTGTGCTTTAACTAGAACCTCTTGTATAGCTGTGTTTTTTACGTTGATGTTTGATGACTTGGCTTTTAGATAACTCTTTTTCACGGTGGTAGTTGGATCAAGTAAAAAAAATTTTCCAAGACTGAGATGAACATCAGAAAACAGTGCAGCAAAGTGTAAATCAGAAATTAAGTTGGTTCGAAGGGGTCATCACAAATCCAGACTACTGAGAGAAATTGCGCACAGGTATTGCAGCGTAGGGAGAGAACCGTTCACGTAGAGTTAGGATATAAGCGGTAGATAATTTTGATTGGTTGGAAGAGGGTTGAAGAACAACCACTGAAGATATGAGATGGAGGTTCTGTAATGAGAAGCTTTGCTGTGGGATTTCTAGCCATGTTACGCAGAAAGAAAGAAAATTAAGAAAATCACTATGTTGTTCTTATTCACCTGGCGTAACGGTCTCCAATCGAGTGTGGAGCTGTGAGAAAATATGAACCCCTCTAATCTATGTGGGAGGCACTGTAAGCAAGTGGCAAGTCGTATGTGCCTAATTTCGCGAAGCTATGTGTATAGAAAAGGTTATGCTTTAGTTACGTTCAATGCTGAGTACTTCGTGACAAAATTTACCGTCAATTGCATGCACTGTGATTCCATTCTTGACACAAATTAAAACTCTCAGAAAAGAACAGCAATCAGTGTAACCTTCTGCTATGAATGACTCCCAGCTGTAGAGAATACGATACGCCGCTTCGAGCATTCGCTACAGTATTTCTCATACTACATTCCGAGAAACCTCGGCTCTTTCACGTCCATTTCTAGGTTCAAGATTGCTCGTTCATAACTAAATTATCGCCTAGGAGTTGTTCTTGAGTTATAAGCGTCTGTTCAGTGATCTGGTTATACACTAAATATCTTGGTCAACTTGCCTTCAGTTGAACGTCATCTTTGCTGACTGGATGGCCCGTTCTAACCCATTCATTATACCCACCATCGACAAGCGACACTTTTTCGTGTCCATAGGACTGAAATCAATAAAGATTGAACCAAAATTTTTTTATTTCTAGGTCACACTCGAAAAATTACTAGACACCTTGAAAAGCCAAGCCATTTTCGCAGCGTGAACCATTCCTCCAAACATTTCTCGACCATAAAGTATTAGATGCTCGTCAGCATCAATTCCTAGCATCTCAAAATAAACTTTTCACACAACATTTTTTCTCGAAAAGAATCCAACAAGAAAATTTTAACGTTAACTTCTCAAGAGCTGGCTCCATTGCTTCGTCCCCCATCTATCCCCCCCCCCTCCCGTCCCCTTCCTAACCCCTCCAGCTCTCTTATTTGAATACTATAAATCAGACTGTGAGTAAGCAGGTAACTACCTGTACGTATTCCTGAAACTTTTCAGGAGGGTACAGCGCAAAGCGTTCATACTCCGATGGATAGAACGCAGTATCCATACAAATATGAGCTGCTTTTGGAATATGCCCGGTGAGGTACTTCTGCTTAGACCTGAAAATATTCCTCTGTTACTATCTTACCATCAAGTGGTATCAGGCTTTTGTACAAGTGAATGTATCATCAAGAGAAGATCTGTGAACAACAGGCCACTGGAATCACATCCGTCAATCATTGGTCAGAAAATGTTTAAGTGATTTTAGGTGGCTTTTTGCCCGTTGCCAGCTGCACACATGCACAGAGACTCAATCTAATGCGATAATTTTGTCCGCGAAAGTGCTGCTGGAAAGCTGCCCAGACTCGCATCCAGAACGGGTCATTGAACAAGGATGCAGTAGCATTCACGTCTGCATGTTAAGATTCGAACCTCACTTGCAGTTGAACACAATTTGTGAATGCAAGCTGCGCAATCTGTCAGATTAAGGCTGTTATCAACTATGGCGGATAGCCCTTTGCCATAGAATTGTCCTTGTGGTTGACTTTGTAGATAAAACTGTTTGACAATTGATCCTCTCAATTCTATTCTGCATCTGTTGTCCCAGAAGGGGAGAGAAGCTCAGAGGAACGCAAATTTTCCTGGCGGTTTCTCTGTCAAATTCAATTCGTGGCCGCGTTACAATCATTCTCAATCAAGAATCATCAAGAAAATGAAGGTTTGGTGTTTTAAGTAATCTATCAAACTGTCCGTCTTCATGAGTCAGACAAAAAAAAAGTAAAGCACTTCGTCTTTTAACAAACTGTTTGAAACTGACTTCTGGAAAAGGCAAGGGAAAGGCGAGCTGGACAAAAGCAAAGTTAGAAGTAGAAAACCAAAAGTGCTCTATGTTAGTTAATCCGACTCACGGGCACGGCTGTGCTAGGAGTTTTTCGAAGTTCCCATATAGATTGGTCTGGAACTCTTTCCAATTGGGTTTTTTTGCGACTTGAAAGTGATCGTAGGTGCAGTCCAGTATTTTCACGCCTTCCTTGTTGATGATATTCTTCTTGAGCAATTGTGCAACCGTGTTCACGTCGACCAGTCGCTTGAGTGACATGCTAAACGGCTGAGAAGGACTTTTTTCGGAATCCCGAACACGAGATGCTCACGTATGTTGTAAAATTCGAAGGGTTTTGTCTACACAAAAAATGGCCAACAACATACTAAAAATAGATTCTACCAAAAACAAGAGGGAATTCGGGTTTTGTGGAAAAGATTATGCTGGCACTTACTATTCCACACAAAAGGTAACAGTAAGTGAAGAGTAGGAGGAGCAAAGTGTAACATGAATGAGCAAATGGTTACGATGAAGTTCCCCTTCCACACGTATCTTTCCATCGCGCACGGTGCACATTCTCATAGTGCCGATCATGAATTCGTGACAAAACTAAGAGATTGGTTGGGCGGAGAATCGATAGGACTTTAAGATGAAGGGAACGTAACAGCTGCCACTTTTTTCGTTATGTACGAGATCTCAGAGTTGCCCTATGATTAAAGTGCCTCTCGACGAGTTTCTAAAAAAGTAACTGGTGTAAAAGATCGGGTGATCATAAATTCTCTATCGCTGAAACCATCGAATCAGACGCGCTTACTTTAGTCTACAAGCACGTTGCCAATCCATTCAATTGAAGAGGTTCTTATAAAAGTAGCAAAGGCTCCCGTAGCAAAATCTCAACTTTTTTATGGTAGACTGCAGTAATTTATGTAAAGGTACCGATTACACAACAGTGTTCTTACTCATTTTATCTGAATGTTTGTGTAGCGTCTGATCATGCTGCTACTTTTGTAATTTTGATTGAGTGTCGGGAAAGGGAAGCAAGAAAGGGTCTCTTTGGAATACGTTCATAACTTTTGATTACTGAGATAGGAATACAGATTTCAGTGATGCTCTAAAAAAGTAAGGAGAGTGAGCGTGCAATTACCACCTCCTCCACATTGTTAGAAGAATACAGTAGTTTGAAAAATTGGTGCGATAAGGTCTGCGAGAACGCTAGAAGTTTCTCCTTCGTAGCTGCACATACATCATTTGGGTCTTTCAGCAATTGAGAGACCCCGTGACCAAGTGAGCCTCTTTTTCAAACACCTCTAACCGAACCCTAGAAGAGTCACGTGGTGATTGGTTGCACGTGCCATGCTAGTTGCAAGTGCACCCCAGTAAAAAAACGTGTATACTGTGCTTGGCTACTTATGCGTATGTCAGTGTTTGCGATGGGGTGTGAATGGGTATGTGAGTAAGAAATCAATGCTTCTAACAAATCATTGCAGAATCAAATCTCAGAAAGCAGTTTGTAGGAAGAACATCGCTCTTGGAGTTCATAGCTGTTCTAAGATTTCGGTATCACTGAACTAACTGGTTACTCCGGATCAATTTTGAGGAGGCGCCATACAATACAGGGCGTATGCATATAGATGAGCACTATGGTAAAATCTAGTTCCTAGTTATTGGGAGTGATGTAATCAGGTCAAAGAATTAGTTTACGATAAAAAAGGCACTTCTAAGATTCCCTTCCCGGATGAGTATGTGGCCTCCAAAGATAGCGGAAGGCACACTTTTCGCGCAGGCTCAAAAATCGGCTTGGTTGACATACACACCCAAAAGTGGGCCACTTGCGAGCTTTCTAAGGTTGTACCAATCAAGGAAGGCACTAAAACGTACGTACCAGCTGGAGAATAGTACGTTCATGTGTGGAGACGACTACGGATACATAAGAATACATGTTTGTGCGACCCCATCGTCTTCGTCATTTTTGCACTATTTCGCACCATACCTTCCATTGATTTACTCAATCTGGGTAACCCAGGATTATCTTGAACTGTGCCTTCAATGAGGAAGAGGCGCTCGATATTTTCGCTCACAAATCTCGCAATGGATTCTTATTGAAAAAAATAGATAGTGGCAAGACTTAGGGGCCAATAACGTTGCCAGGAGCTGCAAAAAGTAAGGGCAGTTATTGAGAAACAGCTATACGATAGCGCTCGGAGCGATTCGTATGAAAACAAGGTGATCAGGACAATTATGGCGAGGAAATGTGTCGCCGACAAACAAGTTAGTGAGAGTAGACCTGTGGCTGAGGGGTGAAATGTAAGGAACTGTGCATTGATTGTTGAAGAAGGTTACTGCGAATAAGCAACAAGTGCAAGGTGATGAGGGAAGCCTTGAGAGGCGGAGCATTCACCGAAGTTTTGGTGCTATAGGCCGATTTTCCTAATTTCTTAACAGCCCGGACGTCAGAAAATACTGAGGAATGAGTCAACAGATCAAACGAAGAACACCCACCTTCTGACAGTGGGCGGCATTTCTCACATGAACTCACAAACCGATTCAGTGGAATCGTGGGGACCAGGAGAAAATAAAAGGGGTGAAGCCTTATTGTACTGCGCATGCGTAGACGTAGCTAAGCTCTGCTCACGCTATTTTTTCAAAAACAAGTATGACTATAGTTGATCGCCTATTAATGATAGAGTTGATTGACTATTAACGCTTCCAACATTGGAATGGTGGTAAGAACGGTGTGAAAGAGTAGAAGTTCAAAAATTGAAGAGTCACAATGACATGATTAAATTAACAGTAGATCAAAGACACGATTTCAGCGACGATACCGAACTGCATATTAGAAGAGAGTAGCTGTATATAGAAATGAAAACGGTAATACTTCATTATACTCAGGAAGAATATAAGTACAAGCTCTTTTAACACAATAAAATGTTGCGGTAAGTTGGAGCCTAAATCCAGGAACCTTTTTCATCTATACGTCGTGAGGAAAAAAAGGTTACCGTCTATTCAGTACCCTATCACCGTCAGGAACTTCTGCGAATCGAGCTGGTTTTTATAGAAGCCCATTAACGAAATGTCGGCCAGCCACCTACATATCACCTATGCTCATAATGAGATATCCAGTATACACGCTATAAGCAACTTCCTTCAAGACACACTTCGCTTTTGCATCGGATTCTGCAGACCCTCTCACGGTAAGCTATACTCCATTTTTTGAGACGTTAGTGGATCGACAAGCTTTGCAATTATATGAAGTAGTGAATCTTGAGAATCAGGAGAGTGCACATGCAGAGGAAGACTTTTATTCGATAGCTTGCTCTAACAATAAGTATATACACAGCTGTACACAGCTTTTCGTTCCCCAAAGTACGACAAGGTTCTTATGGCAAAAGACTGCTTTGTAGAAACTTCATCAAGTGGATAGGACAACATTTTCCGAGTACATATAAACCTGCCCTGACGCACTTCCACGCTTGGTATATGATCTCTCTTTCTTGGTCAATCGTTACCTTCTCACCGCCCCCTTCGAGTCCCCAACTCGTCATGTCCTAATAAAGTCTAAAAGTTTCCGGCCTTAACCGATCCCGTTTTTGGGATGCGTCCCCATTTCAGAACCGTAATGGCGTCTCGAGTATGTATATGTACAGTGAAATGCTGTTGCCAGCCGACAATTCAACACCATCCAGACGGTGGATGAGTTGTGCCCTAACTAATTGACTCCAGAGGAATGGAAAGTTTGATTGGACCAGGGATGAACCGATATCGGATTCGATTCTTGGATTGTGCGTGCGATAATGCGCCTCTTAGCACTACACCATCTGTCTTCGATTTTCTTAGCCGTAGTAAAATATAAAATACAGTCAAGTATCCTCATTTATCCAGTGCTCAGGGAAACCTTTCACTCGAAGTGAATTATGCAGGAATGTTCTGCGCTGCGCAATTGATGGCAGCTCCGCTCAATATGTAGTGCCATTGTAAACCGATCTTTCACATAACCCAGTAGTAACTGGTATTTTGTGTGATTCCAATGAAATGCCGATAGCAATACACGTTTTGTGATAACCCATAACGAGAATCAGACAACCGGGCACCATGAGTGCACGTTTTGGAAGTGATCTGCAAGGCAGACATGCACGTGCCAGGAAAAGTTGAAACCGCTGTAATGTCTGACTCTTGACAGCACCCAACCTTCAAAGAAAGTGAGAAAGTGAAGATTATGACTGCAGGGAATACAAGTTTGGCTGGCAACTATGCTGATTCCTCCCGACCTTCGTCCCTAGTAGGCTAATTTCCCTCGCTAGAGTGTGGATGAATTATAAGAGTAGTATTTTTCAATGCTGAGCGAAACCAAGCGTTTCCTTTAGAAACAAAGATGAAAAAACGTAGAGAATCGAAAGAGAGGAATGAAGTGACTAAGCCAGTGTTGGCCCTAAAATGCTACTGCAGAAATCAGTTCCTGAGTTATCACGCTCCGATTCCGCCTGAAGGATGGATTGGAACCATCTGACCAAACTTCTCAATATTATGCAAGACTTTCGAGATAAACATGACCATAGCATAAATGTAGGGAAATAAAGATTCTATGCTTTCTAGATTCTCTGAACCTGCTATCACATCGAAGGTAAGTTCAGACTACAGTTTGAAGCCTACGGCAGGAGGCTAACCTTACGTAGAGGTGAGATGGTGCAGTCGTCTTCAGTATCATTTCTGCCTACATCTTCGATCCGAAATTCCTCCAGGGTCTCCCTCGCGGCTGTTTGTGTTCCGTGCACCAAGACCTGGACCCAAAAGTTACCCAAAAGAGTCTCCATTATGGGAATGTATATTTGATCATTCTAGATCAGTTAACGACTGCCAACTAGCTTCTCTTTTTTTTACTCAATACGCAAAATTATTTAGCTGCCTGGCCTATGTACTCATTCTTCACCAGCGACCGTGCAAATACCCTCCTAGCATGTATGACAGATCACACCTGAATGTTGCACATGTACGATGACAAAAGAGACCGCTACGAGGCAAAAGGCCCTTTAAGTCCTCTAGAAGAATTTCAACGATACCAACAATGCTTTTTGAGGTAAACTAGAGTTGGACTTAGCGAGTAGAAAAATTGCGTCTGTAAGGATTGTTCAAAAATTGTAACTGTGGATAGAAACGCTAAGCGAATTTTCACTTCCTGATGGATCTATTGAAAACAGAAGTGAATTTGGGCCAGGTTCTGGGTCATAGGTTGAAGAAGCCAAACTGCTTAAAGATTTCAGCTCAATTCACGATTAGCAACGACT